TTATATATAAATATATAAAGATATAAATATATAAATATATAAATATGTAAAGATATAAATATATGTAGAAATATAAAGATATAAATATATGTAAAGATATAAAAATATAAATATATAAATATGTAAAGATATAAATATATATCTTTAATATTGTGTACATGTAAATATATAAAGATATAAATATATAATGATATAAATATATAAAGATATAAATATATATAAAGATATAAATATATAAATATATACATATATACATATATAAATATGTAAAGATATAAATATATATCTTCAATATTTTGTACATGTAAATATAATTTATATATATTTTTAAATTTTTTTCTAATATTTATTTTTAAAAATATAATATTACTTTAAAATTTAATTTTTTAATTTTTAATTTTTTTCTTAAATATATAAATGTATAAAGATATAAATAAATATATAAATATATCAATATATTAATATATTAATATATTAATATATAAATATATAAATATATCAATATATCAATATATAAATATATGAATATATCAATATATAAATATATCAATATATAAATATCACTACTAAAAATTCTCATTTTTCATGGGAATATTTTTGTAAAATTTTGATAAAAATTGTAAGAAATAAGTTTTCTATAAATTTAAACAATTTTTTACAAGAAAATTGGCAGAAAAAAACTAGTTTTCTAGTAATATCCATATATTAATATATATATATATATATATATTAATATATATATATATATATAAATATAACTATATAAATATATAACAATATAAATATATAAATATATAAATATATAATAAATAAATATATAAATATATATAATATATAATATATAAATATATAAATGTATAAATATATAAATGTATAAATATATAAATGTATAAATATATAAATGTATAAATATATAAATGTATAAATATATAAATATATAAATACATAAATATTTAAATATTTAAATATTTAAATATTTAAATATATATTAAAATATGTAAATATATTTGTATTTATAGATTTTATATTTATATATATTTATACATATATACATTTATTTGTATATAAATATAATTTATTTGTAAGTTATAAAGATATAAAAATATTATATATTTATTTGTATATAAAAATATAATACATTTATTTGTATATAAATATATGTAAAGATATAAATATATAAATATATGTAAAGATGTAAAGATATAAAGATATGTAAAGATATAAATATATAAATATATAACTATATAAATATATAAATATTTAAATATTTAAATATTTAAATATTTATATATTTATATATATAAATATTTAATTATTTAAATATATATTAAAATATGTAAATATATTTGTATTTATATATTTTATATTTATATATATTTATACATATATGCATTTATTTGTAAGTTATTATTGAAAAATCTTAGTAGTTTAGTTGTTGGAGTTTTAGCCTCCAACTCAAAGGTACTTGGATTCGGACAATGACAATAATCTTTTAATAAATCAAACTTTTAAAAAATATAATATAAATTAAAAATATAATACAAAAGGTGGTAGGCGAGTTTCGTGTTGTAAATAAGTAAATATAAATAAAAATAATTAACTTTATCATTGATTTAGCGATCGATTTAAATCGGTCGCTATTTTTTTAACTTTGCCATCGATTTAGCGACAAATTTAATATATTAATTTCGATCGCTATTTTGCGACCGAAATAAAATCGGTCGCTATTTTGCGACCGAAATAAAATCGATCGCTATTTTGCAACCGAAATGAAATTCGGTCGCTAACACATTAGCGACTTGGCTTTTTGCGACGACGTCTTTCGGTCGCTAATTTCGATTGCTAACTGATTAACGACCGATTTTTTCGGTCGCTAAAATTATTTTTTCTAGTAGTGAGTCCTAACCCTAATCATGAACTAAAACATTAACTGTGGCTTGAGGAGCTTATCTCTTACATCAAGATCGTACCTCTTATGTCAAGAACTTGAAGATCTAACCTTAACCCTAGTCCTAACTATGGACTAAGACCCTACCTCCTATATCAAGAACTTGAGGATCTAACTAGCCTTAACCATATGCCAAAAGCTCATGTTCTACCTCCTACAAGACCTAAACTTAAACAACAACCTTAACCTTTGTACCCTACCTCCTACAAGGCTTAAAAACCTAACCCTAACCCTAATCATATGAAACATAGGACCTAAGACTCTAACAACCTTAACCTTAACCTAACCTAACCCTAAATGTTAACCATAACCCTTGAGACTCCAATCCTAATCTTAACTCTAACCTTATCTCAAATAAACCCTAACCCTTAATCTTAACTCATTAAACCTTTAACTTAAAGGACATTAACCGGTTAGATCATTAACCTTAAATCCTCCTTAAATCCTTGGGCCTAGACTTTATGAACCCTTAAATCATTAAGCTTAAATATTCTAGACCCTACCTATTGGATAAACTCTTAATCCTTGGCCTAGATCGATAAACCCTAAATCATAGGGTTTAACCCAAAACTAACCCTAACAGTAACTTAAACCTTACAATTTAAGCATAATTTTAATCATAAAACCATAACCATAATTTTAATCGTATGACTAATCTCTTATCTTAAAAACCAAAACTTAAACATGACTAAAGAAGACTAAATTCTTATCATCTAAAAATGACTAAATTCTTACCACCTAAAAATGATTAAACTCTTATCTTAAACTTTAATATTTAATAATAATTTATAACTATAATCTTAATCATTACTAGTATAAAAATAATATTTTATAACAATATATTATGACAATTCTAATTCATCAGTCAAAATAATAATAATTTTATAATTAAAAATTATTTCTTATGATTTTTTATATCGATTCAAATTTAAATTATCATAGTAAATAAATTTTATATTAATTTAATTTGTAACTATCATAATAAATATTTAATAATTTTAAATCGTCATAATAAATATTTATTATAATTATTTAACTTTAAATTAATATAAAAAAATGATTTTATATTTTAAATATAAAACACTTTTATGTCAAACATAATAAACATATATTATAAAAGATATATTATAAAAGATATTCAGATTTAAAATATTCAATTTTACTTTATCATTTTTCTTATTTTTTATTTTTTTAACAAAAATTCTACTTAATTTTATTTTTATTTTTTTCATTGTTTCATTTTTATATTTATTTAGTTTTATTTTTTTATGTTTAAATTATCACTTTTTCCAATTTTGTTTTTTATTTCATTTTTTATATTAATTTATATTTTTTTATTTAATTATTATAATGATTTTTTATGAATAATTTTTTAAATGAATATATTTACATTTTATATTTATTTAACAAAATTCTACTTAATTTTATTTTTATTTTTTTCATTGTTTCATTTTTATATTTATTTACTTTTATTTTTGTATGTTTAAATATTTTTGTATGTTTAAATTACCACCTTTGTTTCTTTCTTATTTACAACAAAAATAAAATATAAAAACCTTATTTCATTTTTTTATATTAATTTATATTTTTTTTTTCAATTATTATAATATTTTTTTTATAAACAATTTTTTAAATGAATATATTTACATTTTATGTTTAATTATATATACATAATAATTATGAAATATAAATAATAATTATGTTTAATTTTCACTGTTTGATAAAATATTTATAAAAAATATAATCGACGTAATAAACGGTTATTTAATAACCTAACATACATAGAAAATAATATAAAATAATCGTGATCGAAACATGATCGATTTTTTATTTTTTTTTATCATCTGAAAATAATATAAAATAATCGTGATCGAAACATGATCGATTTTTTATTTTTTTTTAACACCTAAAGATGATAAACTCTTAAACTTTTGTAACTCTTACTTAAACTCAGAAAATTCTTTAAAGATGACTCTTAAACTCTTATCTTAAAAATAAGAAAACAACATAGTAAACCAAAGATGAAACTCTTATCTTGAAAATAAGAAAACAACAACATGCACTAAACATGAACTAAAAATGAAACCCTCTACACATAAACTATTAAACTCTTTAGAAATGAACTAAACTCTCCATGAACTAAACTCTTAAACCTATACTTATCTCATTAATTAAAGCTCTCTTAATTAAAACTTCTATAGAGTAGATGAACTTATCTCATTAAGTAAGAGATGAACTAAAATAATGAGATGAAATTTAAACTCTCTACAGATTTCTCTCTAGAAATAAATCTAACTAAAATCTCTCTAGATAAAGAACTAAACTCTCTCTAGAAATAAATTAAAGAACTATATTTCTCTCTAAAAATAATTAAAAAACTAAACTCTCTCTAGAAATAAATTAAAGAACTAAACTTTTATCTTAAGATAAGAAAATCCTCATAAATGATAAAACAAAAAATCCTCGTAGATAAGAAAATCCTCATCTATTAGGCATGTTTATCTTAAATAAGAAAATCAAGAACTCTTCTCTAGACATGAGAAACCGTAACCCGGACTAAACTCTTCGCAGTAAGTTTTGGCTGAACTTGGGGTCTAAATTAGTTTAGGCTGAAAATGGAAATCGAATGATTGAAAATGGAATTCGAATTATAAGTGTAAAAATGGTAATTTTATTTTTTGTTTTTTAATTGAAAATGGAAATCAAAAGTGTGAGACGGTGTTTGAATTTTATCTATTTATCTAATCGTTCGTGAATAAAGTTCATATTAATACAGTATTATGTAACAAAAATAAATGAAACTTTCATAACAACGATTTATATTTATTTATTTATTGAAATGAAATGACACAATTTATATTTATTTATTTATTGAAATGAAATGACACAGGATACTTCCACGAAAGTAAAAACACTAACAACAACCCCCATCCACCCTCCATGACAAAAACGAAGAGAAAAGGGGACAAACAAGAACATGAAAAATAAAAGAGTACACCATTTTTAATAAAACGGTTGATAATATAAGCTTTGATGACATAATCATCATTATTTAACTGTAAGTACCACCACTCCCATACTCATAATCATTCGGGTTTCCACCTGCACGAGTATTATGGGCCGTAGCAGTCCCACCCGGTCCTCGATTGGTCCCAATGGGGTGCGAGCCCACCACTCCCTCGGTCACATGGCCCGTGGGCTGCCCAGTTCCATGACCCGGCATCGCCGACGTCTGGTGAACCCCGGGGAGATGACCATGCCCCCCGGTGGTAGAGTACGTGGCGGTTCCGGTCCCCGTTCCGGTGGTGTAATGCCCCTGTCCCATATGCCCCGCGGTGGCCGACTGCTTCGCGGCAGCGTTATGCTCACGCGCCGCCTGCTTGTCCAGCTCAGCCTGGGTGACCCTTGCTTCCTTCTTGTCGGTCGCCATCTCCTTTTGCAACGGATCACGTGCTGTCATTCTTTCTGCCTGGTTTTGGCATAAACACATTCATTAGTTCCATAATCAACTACGTAACATTTCATGTAACACGATAGGAGGAAAAAAATTGAACAATGAATATTGCGTATCATATCAACTTCATATAATAAATACTTAATTATACAGAATGATTGAAACTTAAACTGTGGATATGATAAAAGCATGGAAATAATACCTTCTCTTGGACAGTGGCTTTGGTCTTCTCCAAGCCAGCTTTGGCAGAAGCACCAATGTTTGAAGCTGTTTCCTTCATGGATTCTCCTACTTTCTTTCCTCCTTGCATTTTGAACGCTCGATTCTATTCTTTTCTTCTTCTTTCTGTGTTTTTCAGATTATGTTTTCTTCACCTCACTGTACGTGACTCTACCAGCACACACCAAATAAATAGATTTAGGTGCTACGCTATCTTTTCCACACGTGCCACTGTAGCACACGTGCCAAGTTTCTGAGCATAATTTCATCAATCTTCTTACACGTAATTGCCGCGTGTCTGTTCGCTACCACCTTCAATACAGGTGGGGGACACGTGGCAGATAACCACTTCTTATTCAAAATTATCCACATTAAATCAGATCGATATTATTTTTATATTAAAATCATATGACTATGTATGTATTGTATGAAAATTTTTATGAATTATATTTTAGAAAAAAATATTTGCTTAAAGACATTTAAATGTTTTCCGCTATTATTTATGATAAGATTGAAAAATGTACAATTGATTTATTTGATCAATGATATAACATTGTTACAATCGCTGTATAGGTGAGTATTTGGGCCGACCCATCAACCTGGGCCTACGAGGCCCCTCTAAAGCTAAAGTTAGTCATAAAAATGTCTTGTTTTAAAACTTGGTTTTCGGAAACAAAAAATTGAAAAATGATTTTCTTTAATTATATTTATAAAATTATACTGTACTAAACCTTTTTATCTAACTTATTTATTTAAATTATATAATTTTATTTTATTTATCATTTTTTCTATCTGAACTCTTAAATTTACGCATTGTGTTAGTTTAATTTATTAAACTAAATTACTTTGAAATTATTAAGCTAAATTATTTCGAAACGAAATAGAATTTTGTTTGAATATAAAAGATTTTTTTCATCATGAAATTAAATACAGGATAATGTATATTTTGATGAAAAATGAGAGTTCAAATTTAACTAAAAGTACATTTCTTTGTAATTACAGTAAATTATTATGGGAAAATTATTATATATCACACTTTTCAGCGTATTTATTAATAAGAAAAAAACAAAAAAACTGTAAAAATGTTTTTCTTTTCATCAAATTTTTATTTATTACAACATTATTTAAAAGAAAATGTTGACCAAAATTTATATTCTCGTAAAACTAAACAACGATAAAATTAATTTTTCCATAAATCGTTTTAAGATAGAAAAATTATACAAGTTAAAAGTAATTTATTTATAATTTTAAAATAAAAATTTAAGTAAAATACATAAAGAAGTTTCTATAAATTAGCTTTATGAAAAAATTAATTTCAATTTTTTTTTAAGATAAGTTTATGAAGAAAGACATTCAAACACCATCAATAACATTTGAAACTCATCATTTCTCCTTTACCTAGTTGTCTCATAGCATATACATAAAATTAAGGAAATATATTTTTAATAATAGTTTTTTTTTTAAACAAAAATTTAATGGAAGAAAATATGAGCCTTGACTTGACTGTCAAATTTTATTTTTTAAACTATATATTATCATATCCTTTTATTTTTTATATAAAATATTGTAACATATTTTTTAATATCATTATATATTTAACGTTGTTATTATTATGCTTTGGTTGTTGTATTCATTTTCACATGTGTTTATTTAGATAAGATCTCGATCCATTATTCACCTTTTTAATTATAATACCCATAGTTACAAAGTTTATATAGTAACTTTTAATTATTATGTTCATTGTTTATAGAACCAAATGAAAACTCTTAAATTTTGATTTTTCTCGTTTACATACATTCATGTTAATATATTGGTTGTATTTTGATGAGTTATTAGGATTTTATATGTTGATGCTTACATAGAATGATTTGGTTGAAGGAAATTATATTCTTCTGTATATTTTATTGTCATATTAAGTTAGAGTCTCTTTTATATTTTGAAATTTAAGGAGGAAATATTATTAATCCATTCATTACAAGCTAACAAACCTAAGAGAATGTAATATTGTTTTAAATTCAATTGTTTAAGACAATAAATTATTAAATATTTCTTATTTTATATTGTTTATTTTTGTTTTTTCCACAATATCCACTTAAAAAATATTATTTATGACTATGATACAAAATTATTAAACATTTTTCTTAATTAACCAAAGAAACAAAATAACCAAGAAAACTGTTTTATTAAAAATATATCAATTGTGGGAATGATGAGAACGTAGAGTATAACCTATCATGACTCAATAAATAAAGATACAAATTAGATACATCTCCACTATTTATGGTAGAGGTAGAAGAAAATCAGTTTACTCAATGACATCCCCACTTGCCTTTTTTATGCTACAAAATATAAAAACTTCAAAACGTTGGTTGTGGTACACGCACACAACATAAGGGGTTAGAAAGATAGGAGCTTGTGTGTAATTTTTATATTAAACAATATATACTCTTTAATGTAAATATAAACATTTTTAATCCAACCAAATGTTTAGTAAATAATTGAGACAAATAGCATAAACTACAATTTTAGAAAGGATAATACGCAATTCTCATCCAATTTGTCTAAGATTCCAAATTGTCATCCAAACTGTTTTAATTAAGTAAACAAGTACTTAATAAAATTAATAACAACATCCAATTATAATTTTTTTAATGTCAATTTGAATATGTGGAAACTCTTAGCAGACTGTAGGTTAATTTTTTTATTGCAATATAAATAATAATTATCGATGGTATTATGACTTTTAAGATAAAGAATTTAGTATATGATGGATTTAAAAAGTGTGATTTATAAGTCTTAATTGTCTTCAATTAAAGGTTAAATGACAGTTTAGTTCAAGATAGAATTTATTATATGATAATGATTAACTTAAATCTAAGAATGATAAAACGGACTAATTTGTCCCGTTTTGACCTATTTTATCTTTGGTCTACCAAAAAATAGAAAGGATAGATTCACGGGCTAATGAGATAGTTCGTCAATTTTTTTTTTAAATAAATTTTTTTATATATATTTAAATATATATATATATATATATATATATATAATTATAAGAATAATTATTAAAATTTTATTAATTAATTAATATTTTTATTAGATAAATTGAAAAAAAAATTATAATTATATGTTAAAATAACTAATTATAATCAATAATTTAAATTTAATTAATTACTTTTTATAATTTAAATTATAATATTAAATATATCTAAATATTTTAATAAAATAAAATTAAAAAATATAATATTTTTAATTATAATTTTGTATTTTTATTTTAATATATAATTTCTTTTTTATAACTGGCCACCAAATTGACGAGGCTAGGCGGATTAGAGCTTAACTCGTTTGTTATCTACTTAAATCTCAACATTTTTTACTTAGACTAAGATATTATGTAGTGTCCAAATAAGGGACTATGTCTTAATCTCATTATTGGGAGTTAATCATAGGTCGACACAACTTTAAGAAGTTAATATCACATAATTCAAAGAATCTCGCTCATAATTAAGAGTTATTACCATAAATTACAATAAAAAATCAAGTTATTTAATAAATATAATGACATAATCTTGGGACCTTGGTTTGGAATCCAAATCTAGAGCATACCAACCCATTATAAAGGATTACAGTTAGGTTACAGACACCTTATACTTTAATCATGGATAACCAAAGTTCCAAATTTGGTAATAACACTTGGCATCATGGGGAATGGTAGAGTATTTTCTATTACATAAAAGGAAAAAAGTCAAGAAAAATGAGAGGAATAAGAAATCTTTATGAGAAGATAATAAGTAAGGGGTAATAAATATCATAATATATATCTCATGAGTAATTAATATAGAAAAGAGTGCAAGCTTACGTACCTCCATGAGTTCACGAACCAAATTTTTATGACCAATATATAAGCATCACTAATGTGCATGCAACATATAAGATTGAAATATATTTTAATTTTTGTTTTTATCTTTGATTTATTATTATTATTATTATTATTATTATTATTATTATTATTATTTTATGTCTATTTACCAATTTCTTATTAACTAGTTCAACAAACATAAACAATATATATATATATATATATATATATATATTACTTAGGATTATATTTTTTTGTAAAATAAGTTAATTAAAAATATAAGTTAATTCTTAATATCTTTCACTTAAAAAAAGTAATTATAAAAAAATATATACTAGTTTATATACTTGTAATGTTTTTTTTTCAATAAGAAATAATTATGTTATTTTTTAATTAATAAAAAATATTACTATTTTATTATATATGATTATTTATTATTAAATAAATGCAAAATTAACAAATAAAATATATTTTAAAATATTTATATATAATAAAATTATTATGTTTTGAATTCATTAGTATGTGAAACATTGAAATTATATTTGTAGATAATTATTGATTGATTTGGTCTACTTTAATTTTATGCATGTTTGTTCAAAGGTGGGTCTGACATAACCTTGTATGGTTCGACATGATCTTTTGTGGTCTGACAATATGACCCTGAAAACATAATCTTGTTTGATCTGATATGACCCTATGTGGTCCACTATGACTTGTGTGGTCCGACACGACCTTGTATGGTTTGACATGACCTTGTGTGGTCTGACACGACCCTGTGTGGTCCCATGACCCTAAAAATACTACCTTATGTGGTTCGTTACGATCTTGTGTGGTCTGACATTACCTTATGTGGTCTGACATGACATTGTGTGGTTCAAGACAATCTTGTATGGTCTGACATAGATCCTCGTCATGGTTTCTAATAACTGACATGACATTATGCGATCATCGTCATGGTCTCTACTGACCAGAATAATTCTATGTGATTCTTGTCACAATCTCTAATGATTGGAATGACCTTGTATGATCATCGTCATGATCTTTAATAATCATAATGACCTTATGTGGTCCTTGTCATGGTCTCTAACAACTAGAATGATTCTATGTGGTCCTTGTTATGGTCTCTAGCGATTGGATAGGGATTCAGTATATGACTAATATTAGTATAATTGTTTTCTACAACAAATCTTGTTTTTTCTCTTTCGTATTATTTTTAGTTATAAGAAATTCTTTCC